CTTTTAGTACTTGAAATATCTCATTCCAGGCTCTCCTTGCCCCAAGGGTTTGTGTTGAAAAGTCTGCTGTGATTCTGATGGGCTTTCCTTTGCATGTGATTTGTTTCTTTTCTCTTATTGCTTGTAGTATTTTGTTCTTCTGTTGGGTTTCTGGGATCTTGATTATTATATGTCTAGGTGTAGATTTTTTTTTTATTGTGGCTAGTCAAGAGAAATAGACCAGCAGAATGGCATAAGAAGCGAAATCCAACAATATGCTATATACAAGAAACACACCTAGTGCAAAAAGAAGCCCACAGACTGAAAGTGAAAGGATGGAAAACAATTCTCCACATGACAGGAGCCCAGAAAAAAAGCAGGGGTAGCAATCTTATTTGCAGACAAAGTAAATTTCAAACCAAAACTGATTCTAGTATTATAGATGTAGGATGGTACTGTATCATACCTCTGTGAATGTAAAATATCTTGTACCTGCTTTATGATATGTAGTAGTGACCATGTTTTATCAGAGCTATTTTTAATGATGTTACTCTAGAATGTTCTCTTTCCAGATGACGATTAAGATGATAATAAAAAAATGGTGCCAGATACCACAACAGCAACAGAACTTTGCTGTTTTCTGGGTATTATTCTTTTCTTTGTTTTTTTGTTTTTGTTTTTTTAATGGAGTGTGCTGAATGTCTATAATTGTGTTCAGATGACTACAGAACCTAGAAAAGCTGTTGCTGCTAGCATAACATACTGCTATTGTTGGTCTTTTTCTATAAATGAATTTTTGGAAACTTTAACTGTGCTGTCGACTTTGGAAAAAGCTATCCCAATTTACTGTGTTGAGTTGGCATTGTACAGAAATTAACAGCCATATTGGTCTAGAAATATTAATTTTCTTCCATTTGTACAGGGGTAACACACTGTATTAAATATGTAACATCATATCTACGTGGGTTTGATTACAGAAACTAATAAAGTATTCTCTAAATAATGAAAAAAAAGAATAATATAAGACTACAAGAACAAGAAGCAATTTAAATATGTTCAGGGACCATTTTCATCTTCAGAATTAAGGATTATTTTAATTTTACATCATTTCCTTTTCTCTTTTGCTTTCCTTTTTAGTTTTATTTTAGGATTCCCTATTTTTAATGTTCCTACAGAGATTTTTTTAACTGAAATACCGAATAGTTTCTCTGGTGTGAAAAACTATAATAATACACAAGATCCTAATGAGATAATTAATAATGTGAAATAAGAAGTAAAGGGCTAAAGGTGTAGGGAAAGTGGGAAGGGTGGGGGAAAGGTAATAAGGAAGAGGAAAAAATAGGAGAAAATTTAAAAAATGGAAATAAAGTGTTTGTAAATGGGGAGGGGAGAAGGGGGGTAAAGGGAGGGCAGGGACAAGGGGAAAAAAAGTGAATCAAGACCTATCATGTAAAGGTACAGGATCCCAATAATGAATGTAACTGTACTGTATTCCTAGACTGTACCAATAAACTCAATAAAAAGAAAAAAATATATATATATGACATACTAAATTTAAATTAATTTTGTTGTATCCCACAGTTTAATCTACAATCTGTTGTTTCTTAGCAATGACTACATAAAAGACAATTTCATCTTTATGATTGATGAACATTCATCAGTACAAGTTCATACATCTGATATACTGCTTGGCACATCACAGAAAAAGATAGAGCCTGGAAATTTAAATTCTAGGTTCCAGATTCTGGTTGTACTACTCATATGGCCTGTGGATCCTGGACAAGTTATTACAGTTTCTGTGGCTATTCTAGGAACTAAAAACAGAGATAATAATGGCTCTTGCCTTCAGGGTAGTTAAAAAAAAACAGAATACTAAAGAAATTCTGGTCACTCTATAAAATGTCTTGCCATTATTGGATGAATTAAGTTAGCTGCCTTTAGCAGCCAGAGAAGACATTGCTGTAAAGTTGTCATTCATAGGTATTTATCCCAAAGAATTTTAACCACAAGATCAAAACCTAAATTGAAGGATCTTGACAATAATTATCAGAACTAAATAAACAAAAGTTTTAGCACAACATTTTATACAAATACTAATTATAAGATGTAAGACTCCAAAACTATTTTAATATTTGATAAATTATAGGATGGAAATATTATAACAAGATAAAATAAACTGATTCCCCAGAAAAGTACTGTAAATGTGGGGAGGCAAGTTAAAAACAAAACCTCTGGAGAGAAAGTATTTATGCACTAAGCCTTGTCTCAGCCAAAGGAACAACAGAAGTAAAACCAAAGATACACCCTCTAGCACAGAAGTTTTCAGTCATTTCTTCAAAAAATTGACTAAACTCTGTTAATCGTTTCTCTAATTTTAAAGAGATCAACCTCTGCTTTCAACCTTTACTGAAATGTACTCAATAGCTTTTCCATAAACTAAATGGCATCCACCTACACTACATTCTAAGTGTCTGTCTTCCCAGATGCAAGCTCTGCAGCTAAGCTACCAACAGTTCCTCACTACCATTTGTACCTGTACTGAGGCTTTCCTAGGAAATGAAGTGTTCTGGCTTCAACACAAAAATTCTGTACAGGCCTCTTTGTGCTTGCTTTCTGTCCATATTCTAAATGCAAAAGAATATTGGGAAGCTAGTTCGCAAATTGGTGCGCTGTCATTTTATCTAAGCCAAACGCTGCCTCAAGGGGTCTTGACTTTGATATGTCACTAAACATCCACAGAGCCCCATTTATAATTACTGCTTAATCTAAACCAACAAAAAGGTAAGATAAAATGAAGTCTGGCAGAGCCTTCTTTCCGCACTAGACACATAGACCATAAAGAAATCTGACATTTGCAGAGAGAGAATGTCAGAAAAAATAAGTAATGCTCTCTTTTCACTCATGTTTCTTAAAGAGGAAAGAATTGGAATGCAATGTTTTACTGGCAACATTGAGAGTGTAAATACTCATCAGTTCTACAGAAAACAAACAAACAAACAAACAGGCTTCATGGAGAAACATTAAACTGCATTAAGAGAATGGTTAAATCTATACCCAAACCATATGAGTTCTCTGCTAAGATTTTAATTGATTATTTCATGCTGTCACCATATTTAGTAATGGTGGTAGTGTCCTGTTAAAGAGCAGATACAGAGATAAGAGCAGATATGTTTCTGTGCCTATTAAATAGTTATGGTTAAAAAGTGCATTACTGAGATAGTTAAAGTGAAAGATGTTGAGGAAACACTCATGTTAGACAAATTATTTCCCTAGGCATTGTTCAAGAATCATCCTTCTATAATGAGATCTTTGACAAGGCTGGGGCAAGATATTTTCTTTAGGCCCTTCTTAAATTTTCCATTTTTCATCTTTCCATTTTAATACACTGACTTCATGAAATAAGAGACAGGAACTACCTTCTTCATTAACAAACAACCCAAATACCTAGAATATTTCAAAGCAAGAAAAAGGGCCTTGGGATATAAGAGAAAGTAAACCAGGGAAAAGCAAGTGAAATCACTCTTTTAGTGTTCTAAGTGTAAACCATACAATCTTCTTTAGCATGAGACCAACTAAATAAAAAATGTTCATCAAAATCATATAAATACATGACACGTGTAGAGAGTAAAGCTTTCTTTTTCACTCATTAACTTGGTGTTTATCAAGAATCCAGATTGTGTAACATATTATATCAGATACTGTCAATATAAGAAACACAAGAGAAATTAAAATCTCTAAGTACCTGTCCACTAGGAGCTGACAATCTACTAAGAAAATTAATTACCATGTAGAGCAAACCAAGTATGAGTTCCAAAAGAAAATATGAAAAGCAAATGTACAGAATCTCTGAAGAGAAGAATGTAAATTTAAACAGTCTGAAAAGATCTTACAGAAAAATGTGTAAATGTTATCTGAGTTCAATAAATCACTTATTTGTATTCCTCTCCAGTTTCAAATACCTGTGTACCCACACATGCACCCAACATGAGACTACAGGAAAATATATAGAGAAACATTTTTATGTTATCAATTAGCCTGGTACAGACAGTGTTTGTTTGTTTGTTTGTTCTTGGTACTGAGGATTGAACTCGGGTCCTTGCGCTTGCAAGGCAGGCCACCAAACCGCTGAGCTAAATCCCTGGCCCTGACAGTGTTAAGGATGTACAGAACAAACTTTAGAAAAAGTTCAATTTAGGGAACACATCAACCATTGATATGGGCAGCCTGACCCAGAGTTTATGTCAAACAATGTGCCTCTACAGTAATATCCACCACACTGCAAATGAATAATTTGCATTTACACCTTTCTCAGTTTAGTGTCAGAAGAAAAATTGCAAATATATCTATCTATCCATCTATATAGATCTATATAGATGGATAGATAGATAGATAGATAGATAGATATATTTATTATTAATCCCAAGTCAGTGGCAGATCATGGTCAAATTTTGTTTTCAGTACCAGGGATTGAACTTGGGACCTTGCGCTTGAGAGGCAGGCAGCAAAACCACTGAGCTAAATCCCCAGCCCATGCTCAAACTTTTTAATACTATTTAGTGCATTTTACTTTAGCAATGAAAAAAAAATATGTCACTCAAATAGCTGTTTGCCACACCAGCTACTGTAAGAAAAATCTCCACCACAGTGTGGTGGACGTTGTGCCATATCACTGTTGCATTCTGTGCTGTGAAACACTTCCAAACCTCAAGTATTAAATGGAATGTGGAGCAACAGCCAGAAACAAATTCCAAAGCAACAGCAAAGAGAAGAAATCCCACAGACTCAGCAGCTGACACTAATTTATTGGGATGTATTAGGAACTCTTGGGAGTGAAGTGCCTGCTAATTAGGCCACTACAACAGGTTCTCAAACCCTGACAAGGGTTTTTTTTCACATATCTGATGAAAAACTTTGATTTATGGGCTGTCCAAGTAACACCTGAACAGATGGTATCTTTTAATAATAATTGACAGGAGTTTGTAAAAGGTTCCAAAATCAAGAGAACATTTTTAGTTTTCTACCTTATCTTTGTCTTCAACAACATCTGCCAAGACATCATCTGGATCCAGAATTCCTCCATCTGTGTACTCCAAGTGATGAATCTTCACCCAGTAACCAGGATCCTGTGAGAGAACAAACACACTTTATGTCTCAATCTTTTTTCTTTAAGATACATTATAATTTTAAGAGAAAGCAATTAATTCATTAAAATATGCTCTCATAGTAATAATAAATTTTTAAACACCAAAAAGTCATCTTTCCATTTGGATCAATATTTAACATGTTTATCCTCTTTAACTTAAGTCAGTGAACCAAAGTATACATAATTCATCAATGTTTATGGAAAGTAAAAGTGCAAAGCAAACATTAATTGCCTCACCAACTTGAAAAGCATATTTAAGGAATTTCTGTATAACCACAACAGTGGTAATACCAAAAATATTCTAGAAAAGGTCTTGAGGGTAGGTCCCAATATTGAAGAAGACATCCAACTGAGGCCCGGATGCTCCAGGCAAAACAAAACCCAAAACCAAAACCAAACCTACAAAGCAGACATCTGTGATTGCAATAGCTTTCACTTTGGAATATGCAAATGGAATGGGAGTCTTCTCATCTCCTTCACTGTTTTAAATCTCCATGCTTCATATGCACCCCAGCTCTTGGGTTTCCAGTGATATATCAAACCCAGAGATCCAGCCTTGGTTTCTGTTTCTTCAAGTATGGCAGCCATTCGCCAACTGTATTCAGAGTTGAACAGTGTGAGTTCTCTGAATTGGGGTAATGATTTAAGAGATTTCCAACTGAAAACAGCTTAAGTACTACTTATTCTCATATTCAAATTTGGAATGAAATGATCTAATTCATTCCCTTATTTACATACTTCCTATTTCCAGAAAAGATATGAAAATGAGACAGGAACATGAAACAATAAATAAAAACATTAGTAAGGATTTTACCAAGTTATAATCAATTTGGTTTTGTGATTCTTAGAAAGCCCCACAAAGTGGGAAACTATTGAGCTATAAACCACTTAGTATCAAATAAAGAAATAGATACCAGATGTGTAAAAGAGATGGAAAAACTTCAAGCTCAAAGCTTTTATCACACAAATCTTTATTACAAGAAAGAATTAACATAAACCATGGAATGCAATTACAATTTTACAAAAGTGAATAGAGATGACTGTTATACAGCCTTCTCTTTAACTGACTCCTGATAAAGGGCAAGGCCATACTATTAAAAAACAATTTTTAAGGCATTTGTTTAGAAGACTCTTGAAATGTAACCCTAGTACATAGCTTTCAAATAATCCAATTTCATAAAGTGACAGGCTTAAAAAAATCTGAAGGAATGCTCCTCCAGGCTTTGGACATCTCAAAATTAAGTTGTCTATACAGTATCTAAGAAGCAAGCCCAAGTAAATTTTGTTGTATGTGTTTCTAACACAAGGTCTAAAAGTACAAATGTTGATGATTTACTATGAAATTGTAAATTCCTGACTTCAGTGCCTAAATGGAAATCCCAAAGATGCGAGAATTAAAGTATAACAAGCATGAGACAACCATCACTCAGGCTCTGCCACCTGAGATATTCACCCACTCAAGGGGTTGTGCTATAAAAGATGGGTTGAGTGTAACAAGTAAGATTCCAAACAGGGAGGCAACTAGGGTACACAAAATACTACATTATGGCCCCTGGACTGCATGAACTCCTTAGCAACTCTTGGGAACAGAATATTTTTGTTATGATCATGCCATAAGCAACACATTTCTCATATCTACCCCAGATTCTGGCTAAAATCTAGAGAATTATGTTTTCCTGTTTTCTTTGCAAAAGTAACCTGTTTATAAAGGACTTCAATTTAATTAATTTCTATAAACTTCCACTGAATTGGTTTTTGATATATTGCAGCTCTGTAGATGAAATCTGTTGATCTTAATCATGTTTATAAAAAGCAATGTATTCTAAACAGGCTTTTAAAATATTTGTACTTAGAAGCAGAATCAATTAAATTGTCTGCTTTTCACTTGTGCTCAGTTTGTTAAAGTTGATATTATCACCTAAAACTGAAGTAAACAATTACTCCTTTAAAATTCACTATAAGTAAAAGTCCACTTTGCTTTCTACCTAGGGAAACAAACAGAAAAGATAAACTAAGTCCTGATTTTGTGTATGTAGGTATGTATGTGCACATGCACACACTACTGAGAATGAACCCAGGGCTTTTTAAATAAACTACATTCCTATATTCCCAATACACACACACACACACACACACACACAATTTTTTTTTTTTTTGGTAATGGGGTTTGAACTCAGGTCCTTGCACTTGCAAGGCAGGCAGCGGAACCACTGAGCTAAATCCCCGGCCCTACATACTTCTTTTTTTTTTAAAATTTAATATATTGGTACATTCTAGGTAGACAGTACAGTTACATTCATTACTGGGATCTTGTACCTTTACATGCCAGGTCTTAGTTCTCATTTTTTTCCCTTGTCTCCACTCTCCCTTCACCCTTTCCTCCCTCCCCCCCTTCAAATACTTTAATTCCATTTTTACATTTTCTCATATTTTTTTCCTTTTCCTTTATTCCCCCTTCCCTATCCTTCTCACTGTCCCTACACCTTTGGTCCTTTTCTTCCTATTTGCTAATTGTCCCATTAGGATCTTGAGTACTATTTTAGTTTTTCACACCAGAGATACTATTCGGTATTTGCATATGTGTGCCTTATTTATTTCACTTAGAAGTATATCCTCAAAATGTACCCATTTAACTATGAATGAATCTACTTTCTCATACTTTTTTTAAAACAAGCTCTTAGTAATTTGCTCAGTTCCTCCAACTTGGGTTGATTTGTAATCCTATTGTCTTAGGCTACCATAGTCCTGATTTAAAAGATGAAAACTAAAAAAGAAAAAAAAAGTCAGGAAATATGATCTGATCAATGGTAACAAGAGCAGATAAATGGCAGCAAACGGAGATTGTTCAATCACTTAGTCCTCCTCCCTCACATACACTCATAAGGTCTAGAGCATTCTGGAAAATAAGACATAGCAGTTGAAATCAACATACCTTGGTATAATTTGACTCAAAAGAGTGTAAAACTAAATCAAGTAAAACAAAATAGTTTGATAAATATGAAATCACAAATTTGACAAAAACATTAAGGGAAGTACATGGTACCAGAACATAGAAAGATTCCATAATTTTAACTCCTTATTCTATATTGATACTGTTACATCACTCTAAAGAAGGAAACAGTAGGCTAATGATGGGCACACAAATGATCTAAAACAAAAAGAGACAAGTCATAACACAGCAGTTTCAGGCAATTTTATACACCCAAAGAGATTTTAAAAAATCAATATATATATATGTATTCAATATTAGCAGCCTACTGTCATCACAAAGACTATAAATTTACCTTTCATGCATGTTAATATTTCAGCCATTTCATTTCAGTCAACATTTTGCATTTCACTTACTTGGTTTTATTACTATCAAGAATAAAAACAATCAGGGCTGGGGATTTAGCTCAGCGGTTCGGTGGCCTGCCTTGCAAGCACAAGGACCCAAGTTCAATCCCTGGTACCAAAAAAAAAAAAAAAAAAAAAAAAAAAAAAAAGAATAAACAATCAAATATAAAAAGATGTTCAAAAACATGTCTTGGTTCACACACTTAATCACTTGGAAGAGTTTACTATATTTTGTCATGATGAAGACATTTAGTTTTCATTCATAATGCACAAACACTAGATGTATAGCTTTTAAGTTATTTTATACATATATTTTAAGTTATATTGAAAATATCTCTGGACAGGTGCTCACTTTGCTGTTCAATAAGTTTTATTACCTATACTCCTATGATCACTAAAGTATTGAAAAATAACATACTATTCATTTTGCTTTCTGCAACTGGTAACAGTATCTAATCTGTTTTTTATTTATTTATTTTTTTTTTTTATTGAGTTTATTGGTACATTTAGGGATACAGTACAGTTACATTCATTGTTGGGATCATGTACCTTTACATGGCAAGTCTTGATTCTCATTTTTTTCCCCTTACCTCTGCCCTCCCTTCACCCCGTCCTCCCCTCCCCATCTACAAACACTTTATTTTCATCTTTTCATTCTCTCACATTTTTTTCTTTTCCCTTTTTGTTCTTCCCCTACGTATCACACCTTCCCTACACCTTTAGCTCCTTTCCTCCCATTTCTAAATGTCAGTAATCTTATTAGAATCTTATGCATTGTTGCAGAATATTTTAATACACAGTTAATTTAAACCCTACCGGAATTCTAAAACTAAAACAAACTAGTCTATAGGGATAAATTTGAATAAGGAAAATAAAATAAAAACATCTGCATAACAGAAAGAAGATAGTTACAGGGCATGTTTAATGATTAAATGTAGCAATCATTCCAAACAGGCATTGATTTTAATTGCATCCAATATTCTTCATCGTGAATAATGATATGAAATATGACCCTATGCTTCAGAAAATCTGTGTTAACCAAACTGTTGAAGAACAATAATTTTCCATCCATGATACCTAAGGAATAGACTTATAAGCCAGACACTATAATGCTGTGGGATCATTCAATAAATGACCAGAAACTTGGGAGTTTCTAAGCAAAATGGCTATGGTGCAAGAAGAAGAAAGCACCTTGTAATGGCAATAAGGTCACATGGGAGGAAAACACTGCAAAGGAAAAGCCAGTCATTGGAGAAAGGCTGCATTTAATTAGTGGTAGCAGTCACAGTACTTAACAATACAACTGAGTCTCAGTGACTTATTGAATCACAAGAACAACTTAGAATGGAAGTCAACAGAAAAGTAAAATCTCTTTTCAGAATTTAACTTTGCAAGTTTAGTGACATGAATCTACAAAGAGAGATTTTACTATTTTTATCATTATCTTAAAGGTCAAATAACTTGTTTTAGTGCTTCTTATAGGTGAGATACTGTAGGTCCCTGTGTTGTCTATGATTAATTCATCTATCCTCAAACAGCCTCATAAAAGTTATTAATCCACTTTACAGATGAAGACACCAAAGCACAAGTAAATAAACTTACTTTAGGTCAGACAGTAAATTGCAGAGCCATAACAGAGTTCCT